AGGACCATATTGGGCTAATATATCCTGTAGGAAATTTACCTGGAAATTCTCAGTTACATAAGCCAGGTGTACTGGTGAACACCTATGATCCTTGCCAGGCTAAGGAGGCAGGAGGTTCACAAGTTGAAGGCCAGCCTGGGCAACTTAAGGAGACCCTGTCTCAAAATACAATTTTAAAAAAGGGTTTGAGGTATAGCTCAGAGATAGAATGCTCCTGGGTTCAACTCCCAGTACCAAAAGGGGGGAAAAAAAATCTCAGTTATGGGTAGCTCTTTCCACTGGTGGTAATTTTGTATTTATATAGCAATGTCTCATAAACAGGAAAGATGATGATAGAGATTCTGTGGAAAATCTTCCCATTCAGTAAATAGGTGCCAGGTATATGTGGCAGGTGGCATCCAAAACTGAAAAGCTGCAGCTAAAGACACGAGCGCTACTTTGTAGAATCAGCAGTGTTGACAGGTAGGCATTCAGTAGGGGTTGTTCTCATTTCTTCAGCCTTCCAGAAAGGGTTTATTTGATTCTCATAGAAAGCCTACCATCCATGTGATAGGCCCTCTGCTGGATTGGTCACCTTTCTCCTGGATTAGTTCCTTCTCTAAGCATCCAGAGAGCTTTGAATAGATGCCTTGGTGATGTATTGACATACAGGGTTTGGGGATTTTGTGTGTGCGTCTCTGTGTGTGTATTGGTTTGTATTGGGTATTAGACCCTAAGGCACTTCGCCATTGAACTATACCCTCAGCTCTCCTTTTTTATTTTTAATTTTGAGATAGGGTCTCACTAAGTTGCTTGAACTTATAATCCTCCTGCCTCAGCCTCTCGAGTCACTGAGATTTCAGGGATATAATTTTTGCTTAGATTTGCCCTTGCTATTCTATCTGTTCTGACCTAAGAGAATGGTACTCCTTTATCAGAGTTCTCATCAGCCTTAATGGAATTGTACTGTACATCCTTTTACCTAGTTGTCCAGTCTTCCAGAATTGCCTCAAGGCTCAGATCACAACATTAATTCTCTAGTTTATTCACCTGAAAGACTAGACACACAATCCAATTATGCAGTTGAACTGCCACTTTTCTCTGCAGTGAAGGTGCTACTGTCCCAGCTTGATCAGAATAAGCTTAAGACATGTCTTTGACAGTACACTGCTCCACCTCCTCTCCAAGGTGTGTGTAAGGTTTAAAATATGTGACTTTAGGTTTTACAGACTCTTGCCAAAAAAGGCTTTGGGCCAAATCTGTTTCAAAATTCAGAAATTTGCAGAAGCAATCCCTGTACCATCATTACACACTGAATAGGACATGAGGAAGCACCCAATGATCAAACAACACAGTATTTTTTTTGCAGTAAAACATTTCAGTATTCATACCAAGTTAAATGAATAAAAGCCTATAAATAACATCTCCTTAGTTCAAGATAACTCACTTTGCTTCAAATGAGTTCTAAACTTAAAAAAAAAAAAAAAGATCTTTGTGATTTTCAGAGCATTTTGAATTCCAGAATTATAGATTCTGAACCTATTATTGCATTCCAAGCACAAACCTACAGAGATCCAGGTCTTTTTACTTTTTTTGCCCCCCTTTTTCTTGAAATGGGCATTTTACTCTGTTCCCTATGTTGCCCTGGCCGGTCTAGGACTCATAGAGTCATGCTGTCCTCCTGCCTCAACTTCCTGAGTAGCAGGGACTACAGGAGCGTACCAGCATTCCTGACAAAAGGGACCTCTTGAGAATAAATAAAAATTAACTTAAATAAAAATTAACTTTATTGAATATATTAGAAAACATCAAAAAGAATTAGTGGATTGGGCTGTAATGCCAGCAACTCAGGAAGCTGAAGCAGGAAGATTGAAAGTTAAGCTCAGCTTCAACAACATAATAAGACTGTATCTCAAAATAAAAATAAAAAGGACTGGGGATGTATCTCAGTGGTAGCATCCCTGGGTTCAATCCCTAGTACTAAAAACAAAAACAAAAAAAATTTAAAATAAGAATAAGATGGATTGATATTAACTTGATAATATCCACCAATGAACTGAAAAATACAATTAGTACACACACTTTGAGTGAAGGTTAATGAGGGCTGGGGATGTAACTCAGTGGTAAAGTACTTGCCTTAAATGAGGATTAATGAGATTGTTCCTGGCATGTAACATTGGTACAACAACCCTAATTTTATCTTTTTTCGAAATTTGGTTGGAAAAATAGTATTTTACTGTGCTAGTGGTTTTCATTCATCACTTTTTCTCTTTCAAATGATCACATTTTGGGTACAGATTTGAAAAGTAAGGACTCTGCTTCCTCTGTGAAATCAGCTTTCTCTCCCAGCTCACTTTGTCATCCTATACAGGTACTCAGATATCTGTCTGAACCTTCTGTGCCCTTATAGTAACTTTAAAATGAATTTAAATTAAGCTGGTACAATGGCAAATGCCTGTAATCCCACCTACTCAGGAGACTGAGGCAGGAGAACCACAAGTTCAAGGCCAATTTAGCAAGACCTTGTCTCAAAAAATAAAAAGAACTAAGGATATAGCTCAATGGTAGAACAACCCTGGGTTCAATCCCAAATAAAAGGAATGGAGGGAGAGGATGAGAATGAATCTTGAGAGGTATCTGAGGACAAAATAGTTGAGATGGGTTAAAATTGATTTATCAAAAGTACTAGAATGTTAATTTCCTTTATTTAGTTCTTTAAAATTATTTAATTTATAATTTTTTAAAGATCTTAATATTTTATTCTAAATGGACTGGAAATTTTTAAAAACTTAACATTGCTAGTTTTTAAAGCCTTCTCAAACTCATGTGAACCAGTTCGGGTTTTTTTGTTTTGTTTTGTTTTGTTTTCCTCAAGGAAAATTAAATCAGTTAAATGTCTTATCTCTAATTAAAAACCTTTCCAAAATTTCATTCAAAGGAAACTTATATTTTAGCAGTGTCTTTTTTAATATTATTGTCTCTGTGTTATCAATATTAGTATTAACCAAATAGTACAATTAGTGACACAGTATAAGCATATATAGATATATAGACAGCATGGAATCTGAGCCAGCAGGGTCTCAATACAGGCTCTAGACCCACTGCTTAGTGGTTGAGTGGCTTTAGGGAAAAAACATCTTCTCTTCCTTCTTTCCCCTCTCCTCTTCCTCACCCCCCCCCCCACTGTTTTGAGACAGGGTCTTACTAAAGTGCCCACGCTGGCCTCTAACTTGTGATCTTCCTACCTTAGCTTCCCAAGTAGCTGGGATTACAGACATGTACCATCATGCCCAACTGATACATAACCTTTTCTGAGCTTAGATTTCTATACTGATAAGTTGAAAATAATAATTTCTGTGTTTTAGGATTGTTTTGAGAACTAAATGAAATTATGTAAAGCATCACAGAGATTAAAGAATCAGTAAATGGTAACCTTGTTTTCAAAATTATCATAACTTTATAGTGTTCTAATTATAAAACATGAAAAGAAAGTTTTTACCCAAAGTATACATGAGTCAAAACATCATATTGTTTCCCTCATTGCTAGACTTTAAGGTTTTTCTTTCTACTGCAATATGAACTTCCACTTTAACTTAAAGTAGGAATAAACATGCATACACTCTCTTTTTAAAAAAATCATATCATATGCCATAAAGTTTAAAATGAAAAAACAATGTTTCCACCCAAATTCTCAACATTCAAAGTAATCATTGGTAAAATTATATAGATATGGATGCACAACTTCATATAAATAGATTTATACTAACCAAACTTGAATTTAATCTCTAGCACTCATTAAGTTCCAAATAAATTTATATTTCAGGAATATTATTAAATTTTTATTGGGACCCTTTTGTTCTTTGGTTAGGCTAAACTCCCAAATAATGCTAGGAAGATATCTGGAGCTCAGAGCAATAGCATTATTTTATTTTATTTTTTATTTTTTTGGTACTAGGAATTGAACTCAGGGGCACTTAACCACTGAGCCATATCCCCAGACCTTTTTTGTATTTTATTTAGAGACAGTGTCTCACTGAGTTGCTTAGGGCCTTGCTAAATTGCTGAGGCTGGCTTTGAACTCGCTATCCTACTGTCTCAGCCTCCCAAGCTGCTGGGATTATAGGCTGCACCACTGCACCCTGCTACAGTAGCATTATGAACATAATTTTTTTATTACATAATTTTTGAGACTGTTATCCAGAGAACATTATTCTCTCTGGCCAAGAAATGATCCTACTTATTCTAAAATTTATTGCTGGGTTGCTGACAACCTGAGATTCCATCTCCAGACATGTTGATTTATAAGTAAGGAAACTAAGGCCTGGAGAGGCGGGTTAAGTTAGCCAGGGTGACACATAAATGTATTTTAGATTTCAATGACTGCTTCTTAAAAAATCTAATAAGTTCCATAAAGTAAGAGTTTGCAGAAGTCACTAAATTTGGAGATTCAGGTTTATTCCTTCTTTATTCATGTTTGAATGGATTTTAGAGTGCAAATTTAAACATACAGTAGATTATATTAGATGACCTTTAATTGGACAATTCGTATTTAGGAAATTATTTTCTTAGCTGGACACAGTGAAACATGCCTGTAATCCCAGTGGCTCGGGAGGCTTGAGGCAGGAGGACTGTGAATTGAAAGCCAGCCTCAGTAATTTAGCAAGGCCCTAAGCAACTAAGTGAGACCCTGTCTCGAAATAAAAAGGACTGGGATGTGGCTCAGTGGTTAAACACCCCTGTGTTCAATACTCAGTATCCAAAAAAAAAAAATTTTTTTTTTTCTTGCCAGGAACAGTAATACACACCTTTAATCCCAGCTACTCAGGAGGCTGAGGCTGACCTCAAACTTGGGATACTCCTGCCTCAGCTTCCACAGTTGCTGGGATTATAGGTGTGTGCCACTATACCCAGTATGTCTTGTTTTTTAAGTGCTAAGTGAAGGCCCTTTGGTCTAACTACTGAGTATAATAGTTGCAATCAGAATAACAATGTTTTTCTCTCTGTTCTCTCTTGTGTTGTAGAGTCGACAATTAGAATCAGAAACTGGGACCACAGAGGAGCACAGTCTAAATAAAGAGGCTAGGAAATGGGCCACACGTGTGGCACGTGAGCACAAAAACATTGTTCATCAACAACGGGTAAGTGTAGTAGAATCCTGGCCACATTCAGCTTAAGCCAAGTGTCAGACCCATTTAAGGAGCTAAATTTTATTAATGTGAAAAGCACCCATATATGTTTTTTCTATTCTTTCTCAAACTCAACAATATAGTCTTATCTATCTATTTATCTTAAAAATTCTGTAAACCTTGTAGCAGCAACACATTAATTCACCTGTTTGCCATAAAATTGCCTAAGAAAGACTAGTGATGGTGTCTTACAGTTTGTTGGGCAGGGGAAGAGGCATACATATGATAAATTAAAGTAGACTTTCATCTCTCAAGACAAGTTTTTTTGAAGACACAGTTGTAAATTCTATGAAAATATATTTTCAAGACTAAACTCCAAGTGCAAAGAAATTATTTTAAATATAGTAGTTTTTTTTTAGTTTGATTTTCAGTATCTATATCCTCTTTCTTTGCCTTCACGTCCAACTTCTTAAAAGAATTGTCTACACTTACATATCCTGACCTCCCTCCTACTTTTCAGCTCATTATGTTTAAGCTTTGCCTTGCTTTCCTTCTGATCATTCCTTTCCTTCTAAATTTATCATAATCACCAGTGATGTCTGTTGCAAGATCCAAAGTGGACACTTGATCTCTCGTTTTTCTTTTTCTTTTTTTTTTAAATTTATTTATTTTTTTTTATTGATTGTTCAAAACATTACAAAGCTCTTGACATATCATATTTCATACATTAGATTCAAGTGGGTTATGAACTCCCTCTCGTTTTTCTTAACCAGTCAAGTTTCATCATAACTAACAACACCCTTCTTCTTAAAACACTCTTCAGCCCTCTGTAACTCAGCATTGTTCCAGTTTTCCCTCTTCCTCTTCAGCCTGTCTAGATTCTTTCATGGGTTGCTCTTTCTCTATCCAATGGTTAAATATTTAAATCCCTTAGATTCCTGAACTAGGCTGTCTTTTTTTTTTTTTTAAACTCTTTACTCTCCCTACCGTCCATCTCATACACTGCTATTTTTTCACTTTCAACCTAATCATAAACTAATATTTTCAACATTGGGCCTTGCTTGCTGCTGTATCCCATGTATTTTTTTGCCTACTTTGACATCTTATTTCACTTGTCTCACAGGAGACAGTGTTTTGGGTTTGTTGTTGTTGTTGTTTGTTTTTTGTGGGTTTTTCTTGTTGTTGTTGTTTTGGTTTTGGTTTTTTGATTATTAAACTGGGAATTGGACCCAAGAGTGCTTTACCACTGAATTGCATTCCCAAACCTTATTTTATTTTATTTATTTATTTATTTGGTACCTGGGATTGAACCCAGGAGCACTTAATCACTGAGCCACATCCCCACCCCTTTTTTTTTATATTTTATTTAGAGACAGGGTCTTGCTCAGTTGCTGAGGCCAATGTTGAACTCACCATCCTCCTTATCTTAGCCTCCTGAGCCACTGGGATTACAGGTGTGTGCCACCACACCCAGCTTTGTGTCTTATTTTGAAATAGGTTCTTACTGTGTTGCTGACAGTCTTGTTAAGTTGCTGAGACTGGCCTCAAACTTGGATCTTCCTGCCTTAGCCTCCTGAGTCACAGGTTTACAGTCATCTGCCACCATACCCAGCTTAAAAAAAAATTTAAAAAGCATTTTTTTTAATAATGTCTCTCAGTATTCTGGGTATTGGTAGTCTCAACTTGGCAGTTATCACTTTATAATAATCAGATAATGGCCAGTGCTGGTGTCATCTCATGTGAAATAACTGGTTCTTTTTTTTTTTTTTTTTTAAGAGAAAGAGAATTTTTAATATTTATTTTCTTTCTAGTTTTCGGCGGACACAACATCTTTATTTGTACGTGGTGCTGAGGATCAAACTCAGCATCGTGCGCATGCCAGGCAAGCGTGCTACCGCTTGAGCCCCATCCCCAGCCCCCAAAATAACTGGTTCTTAGGCTGGGGAGATCTAAACAGTTGGGAACTAGAATGCTAGGGCTTCTTACACACTTCTGTCTCTGTGTAGTCTCTCCACGTGATCTCTCCAACATGGTGGCTTCAGGTTGGCTATACTGCTTACATGGTAGCACAAAGCCCCAAAGATATAAGTTCCAAGAGTGAGAAAATAAAACCTGTGTATTCTTCTGACCTAGCCTCAGAAACATCATTGGGATTGCTGAATCATATTTTATTGAGACAATCACAAAGGCCTGTCCATAGTTCAAGGAGATAGGACATACACTCTACTTCTTGGTGGAGAAGTAACAAAGTTGGAAAAACATGCAGAATGAGAAATGTAATAACAATTTTTTGAAAAACATAGTCTGCCACAGTATACCTTATGGTTAAAAGTTATGGTTAAAACTTCACATACCTCCGACATGCAAAATACACTCACTTCTTATCCCCCAAAGCCTGTTTTTTTTTTTTTTTTGTTTGTTTTTTTGGTTTGTTTTTTTTTTGCTAAAATCTGTTCACAATTAATAAAAATTATAAACCAAGAGCTAAAGCTCAGTAAACCTGAGGCAGGTAAAACACAAAGAAAATCATACCACAGTGCATCATAGTCAGCTTTAAAATACAAAAAATGTTTAAGAGTTGTCAGGCGTGGTTATATACACGTATAATCCCAACTACTCAGGAGGCTGGGGAGGAGGCAATCACAAGTTCAAGACCTGCCTGGACAACTTATTGAGACCATTAAATTAAAAAAAAGGTTGGGGATGTAGCTCTGTAGTAGTAGTCCCCAGGTTCCATCCTAGTATGAGATATTGGGATGGGGGGGTGGTAATTGATTGTCTATGATGAAAAATCAAAAATGTTTCCTTCAAGATCAAGAACAAGATAAGAATGTTCACTCTCACCATGTTTACTCAACATAGGAGTTCTAGAGCAGTTATAGCAAAGTTGCCAGAGCAGTTATAGCAAAGTTGCAGGATGCAAAATAAAAACACAAAAATCAGTTGCATTTCTAAATACTAACAATGAGTACTGCAAAAAGGAAATTAATACATCTCCAGTACCACAGCAACAACAAAAAAAGGAAATTAAGAAAGCAATTTCATTTCTAGTAACACCAAAAAGAAAATATCAAGAAGGTAAAAGACTTGTACACTGGGAACTACAAAAACATTGATGATAGATTAAAGCGGGCATAAGTAAATGGAAAGACAGTTCATGTTCATTAAGTGAAGGTATTGATAAGATGACAGTAACTCCCAGAATGATGTCCAGATTCCATGTAATTCCTATCAAAATCCCATTGGGAACATATCCAGTATTCATGGAACTGAAGGCAGATATTATTTTGGGTTTGTTTTATGGGGGCTTCTTTTGATGTGTTTGTTTTGTTTTGTTTATTACTGGAGATTGAACCCAAAGGCACTTTGCCTCTGAGACACATCCACAGCCCTTTTTCTTTATTTCGAGACAGGGTCTCATTAAGTTGCTGAGGCTGGCTTTGAACTTGTAATACTCCTGCCTCAACCTCCCAGATAGCTGCAGATATTGATAAATGGCACTTAATACCAAAATGTTCTTCAAATTCAATGTAGTTCCCTTCAAAATCTGAGCAGTGTTATTTACAAGAAAAGACAAAGCCATTCTAAAATTCATATGAGATCTCAAGAGACCCCAAATAGCCAAAATAGTCATGAAAAATAATAAGGTTAGAGAACTCCTACTTCCTGATTTCAAAGCTTATAAAACTACAGAGATTGAGATAGTGCAGTACTGGCATAAGGACACATATATAGACTTTAACTACATATGAAATCTGTTTTTATTTATTTTGGAGGGATGGGTACTAGGGATTGAATTCAGGGGCACTCTGCCACTGAGCCACATCCTCAGCCCTGTTTTGTATTTTATTTAGAGGCAGGGTCTCAACTGAGTTGCTTAGCACCTCACTTTTGCGGAGGCTGACTTTAAACTTGAGATCCTCCTGCCTCAGCCTCCCAAGCTGCTAGGATTATAGGTTTGCGCCACTACGCCCAGTATATGAAGACTATTTTAAAAATACCAGTTTTCTCCATATATTCAATGTAATACAGGTTAAATACCCAGCATTTTTTTTAATTAACAAGCTAATTCTCAAAGATATGTGAAAATGCAAATCATCTAAGATAGCCAAAACAATTTTGAAAAAGAAGGATTAGATTGGAGGGCTTTCTCCACCTGGTTTCAAGACATAAAACTATACTAATCAAGATGTTTCAGCATTGGTATGAGGATATACTTACAGATGAATGGAATAAAATGAAGAGTCTAGAAGTAGGCCCACACATATATGGTCTGTTGATTTTAGACAAAGGTATAACAAACTTGTAAAAATTATAAATATATATAATAACATGCCTTGCACATGTGAGATACTGGGTTTGAGCCTTAGCACCACATAAAAATAAATAAAATAAAGGTACTGTGTCCATCTACAACTAAAAAGAAGAAGACAAGATTGAGTTCCCTGTCTCCTTCCCAGCTATTAGCTGGAGGCTGTCTTTAGCCCCTAGAAGCTACTCTTCCTGGTCCTTGCACTTGTGCTTCCACATCTCAGAGTCAGCAATGGCACACTGAATCCTTCTGCTTAGAATCTCTAATTTCCTTTCTACCCATCTCTTATCTTACTCTAGCCAGAGAAAATTCTTTGCTTGAAAGATATCACATGATCATATTGGACTTACTTAGGTAATCAAGGATGATCTCATTATTTTAAGGTTCCTAACTCTAATACTTCTGCAAATTACATCATACATACCCACAGTTTCAGACACCAGGGTATTTACATCTTCAAAGCCATGCTGCTTATTACAGTGATAAAACAAGAAAACAACATCTATCATCACCACTACTTTTCAGTGTCATATAGGATTAGTCAATGTGTTAATTAAAGAAAACCAGTTAAGAGATTTAAATATTAGGAAAAGGCACATCCATCATTATTTATTAATAATATGTGTACCCAAAATACCAAGACCCAATTGTCAATGATGGTTTAGTAAAGTGAACAAATACAAGAATATATTTTTAGAAATCATTAATTTTCTGAGGTTAGGAATCTGGCTCAGTGGTAGAGCATTTGCCTAGCATGAGTGAGGCCTGGGTTCAGTCTTCAAAACTGAAGGGAAAAAGGAGAACTTTAGTTTTCTCATTAATGAGAAATAATAAATTGCAAATACAGTGGGAAAAAGTTATTCATCACAGCAGTAAAATACTGATAAGGTAAAGGAGTATAAAATTTTAATGAAACTTAGAAAATATATTTGGAGAAGCTTGACATTCTGGCTCTAAAGTTTACCTGGAATTCTTTTTATAAACACACAAGAATGAGACTTACCACATACTAAATCATAAAATAGTGACCACAGAAATTAACTGTGGTCTAATACAAAAAAATAGCAAATCTATTAAAGAACATATGATAATTTAGAATAATGGTCTTATCAAGATACCATTTTTGGCATACACAATTGCTAAATCCATTTACTAAAGGATTTACTAACTCTTTTCCCCAAAGATTTGAAATGTCAATCAAGATGCCATTTTTCAGGTAGGAGGGAAATATAATGATGAACAGTATATTAAAAGCTGCCAAGAAATTATTGTTACGTCTGATAATGGTATTATGGTTGTATAAAACAATTCACATTTAGAGACATTTATTATAACATGTAGGAATAAAATGACTTAATATCGATTTTTTTCCTTCAAATGCTGTAGCAAAGAACAAAAAGGATAAGTAAAGCAAATTTTAACATTTTTTTGAATCTCAGTGATTAATATATGGGATTTATCGTAATAGATGCTCTAAAACTTTCGAGTATATTTGAATTTTTTTATAATGGAAAACATGTTAGCCTGGGGGTATGACTTGAGTGATAGAACATGTATGTGCTTAGCATGCATGAAGCCCTGGGTTCAATTCCAAGCACTACCAAAAAAAAAAAAAAGTTAATGGCATTTCAAATCTTTGGGGAAAAGAGTTAGTAAATCCTTTAGTAAATGGATTTAGCAATTGTGTATGTTTAGGGGAAAATACACCATTAGATTTCTTTCTTCCACTATATACAAAATAAATTTTAGAAAACTAAAGAGCTAAGTGCTAAGCGCTAAACATATAACTATTAAAAAACTAGAAGAACCTAGAATATTTATATATATTTAGTTATCAGTGGGCCTTTATTTTATTCATTTATATGTGGTGCTGAGAATTGAACTCAGTCCCTCACACATGCTAGGCAAACCCTGTACCACTGAGTCACAACCTCAGCCCCATATTTTTGGTATATTACAGATACCTTTTTTTGGGGGGGGGGGGTACCAGGGGTTGAACTCAGGGGTACTCAACTACTGAGCCACATCCCTAGCCCCACGCCTTTTTTTAATTTTATTTAGAGACAGGGTCTCACTGAGTTGCTTAGCTCCTTGCCATTGCTGAGGCTGGCTTTGAACTTGCAATCTGCCTGCCTCAGCCTCCAGAGCTGCTGGGACTACAGGCATTCGTCACTGCGCTCAGCCATATACCTTTTTAAACAAAACAAAACTCAGGAGCTATAAAGGGAAAGACTGATAAAATGTGACCAATGTGATTTGCCAGTATTTTACTAAGAATTTTTGCATCTATGTTCATCAGGGATATTGGCCTGAAGTTTTCTTTCCTTGGTGTATTTTGTCTGGTCATAGGTTGAGTTTAGAAGGGTTCCCTTCTTTTCTATTTCATAGAATAGTTTGAAGTAGATTGGTGTTCTTCTTTGAAGGAAGGTCTGGTAGAACTCAGCTGAGAATCCTTCAAGTCCAGGGCTTTTCTTTGTTGGTAGGCTTTTCATGGCATCTTCAGTTTCATCGCTTGAAATTAACCTGTTTAAATTTTCTATGTCTTCCTGATTCAATTTGGGTAGGTCATATTTCTCTAGAATACTGTTGATGTCTTCAAGATTTTCTGTTTAACTGGAGTATAAGTTTTTAAAATAGTTTCTGATCATCCTCTGTATTTCAGTGGTGTCTGTGGTGATATATCCTTTTTCATCATGAATTTTAGAAATTTGAGTTTTTTTCTCTTTTTCTCTTGGTTAGCATGGCTAAAGTTTTCTCGATTTTATTGATTTTTTTTTTTTTTTTTGGAAGAACCAACTCAACAGTGAGATCATTTTTTAAAAAATACATTGGCATAATTTTAAAGATTGGCAAAATTCAGTGTGGGTAAGATACAAGGAAGAGTAGGTACAACTTTGTGTAGATAATCTGGTAATGTCTATTAAAATTAAAATGTGCATTTTCTGCTTTTATGTTTTTTATCTTAAATATTCCTATATGTGTTCAAAAAGTCATTGACTTTTGTACAAAAAGTCATTGTACAAAGGGTTCTTTGTACAGAGCCACATATAATGTTGAGAAATTTGAAAATTAAAAAGGCAAATAGAGTAAGAGTAAATGAAACATGGTATAGTTAAATTCTTGGATCTATAGATTAATTAAAGAGAATGAGGTCAGTCTATTTATACAGACATGAAAAGCTTTCTTAGAAACATTGAGAAGACAGTAAACAAAATTTTCTGTTTGTTTTTATATGTATAGAAATGCTCGAAAGTGGTTTGGAAAAATAAAAATTAATTGATGGTATGACAGTTATACCTCATAATGGATTATACAATGTAATAAAAGACTTTTGCCATTTTGCATTAATTGTTTTGTAACAGTATTTTATATTCATGTAAATTTTAAAAACTAAAGGTATGCATGTCAAAACTTGTACAATCTAAGTAAGATCTGTAGATTGAGCCAGTGTCAATTTTTATACTCTATTGCAGTAGCCCCTACTTATCTGCAGTTCACTATCCATGGTTTCAGTTACCTGAAGTCAACCACAGACCAGAAATGCTAAATGTAAAAGTTCAGAAATAAACATTTTAGATGTTTTAAATTGCACACCATTCTGAATAACATTAGGAAATCTCATTCTTTCCCACCCAAGATCCAAAACACTTTAACCATAATTTTTACACTATGTACCCTATCCACCTGTTACTTACTGAGTAGCCTGTTAGATTATCAAATCCACTGTTATAATATCAGAGTGTTTTGCTTAACCTTTTATTTTACTTAATAACAACAGAATACAAGACTATTGATGCAAAGGAGGCACCATGACATAAAACAGATTAATTTTTCCACCGAGAAGCATTGTTGCATGGCTTATAGAAAAATACACAGTAATTTTAGAATTCAGTATTACCAGCATTTTTAGCATCCATTGAGGGTCTTGGAAAGTATCTCCTGAGGATAAAGGGAAACTACTAATGTAAAGTTATATAAATTTTTACCATTGGGGGAAGTTGGGTGAAGGGAGTGTGTACTAGTTTTGCAACTTACAGAGTCTATAATCCACATTTTTTTAAATTAAATAAATAAATGAAACAAAATTAAAAGTTAAAGAAAGGATAATAATTTGTTAAAAGAGGAATCATGGTTTTAGTTACTAAAATCTTTCAAATAATCACTCAAGGAACAAAGATGAGAAGGAGGATTATTTTCTGTACCTGTTTTCTCTTTAGGTTCTAAATGAACTTGAATGCCATGGAGTTGCTGTATCAGAACAAAGCCGAGCAGAACTGGAACAGAAAATAGATGAAGCTAGAGAAAATATTCGTAAAGCAGAGGTAAGGGGGCAGCTAACTATGGCATTTTGCCCAACTCCAGTCAGTGTCACAGCTGTGATACACCTTTGAAGCTGAGTTCCTACACTTATTAAGTTGAAGGGGAATCACCATCTTCATTTGTGTCCACAGTAGTATTATTGAATGCCTGCTTTGTAGAAAGTATACATATAGCAGACTTTGAACCTGCTGTGAAGAGTTCATAATCATGAAAATTACATAACAAAAGAATTAAGTCACAATAAAGATATTAAAGTTTCACAAAGTAAAATGATAATCAAGTTAATGGTAGAGATATTTATGTTTATATATAAAATGTTAATTTATATATTATAGAATATATAATAACATTTATATATAATTTATATGTATTATATAATCATACATAGTAATATATTTATATAAAATTATATATGTATATATTTAGAACCTAAAAAATCTCCCTTATATGGATGGTTTCTGAATCCAGGGGATGTACATGTTGTGTACAGCATCAGAGTTCATCAACCCCAGGCTAATACTCCTTGCCCTAGAGGAGGAGAGGTCAAAATGAGAGAACAAGAAAGTATTAGCAAAAGGGGGCAGGTACAGGGTGGAGTTTGGCAGTTGAAAGTGATTAGAATAACAGATTTTTGTAAGGAAATGTGATAGAAAGTAAGTAAACTATTGTGGTTAGGGCCAGTTCACAGAGGATACACATGTGTATTCATCTACTCTGCTACAGCATGGTGAAGGGGATATGGAGGTAGACATTTAAAAAAAAAAAAGAAAAAGATCAAGACTTTACAACCCTCAAGAGACTATGTTCTTATTAGGAAAGCCTAAAGAATGCCAAAGATAACCAAGACGTGAAGCACAAGTGCCGAAGAGTGGCCATACAAGTATGCTTCAGGAAGTGGAGGACACGGGGAGCACTGGGGGAGGGGTTGTCAGAGCAGAGGTAGGACTTAGGATGGTGTTAGCCAGTGAATAGTATTCAATTAGTCAGGGAAAAGGGAATAACATAGATCTGTGGCTTGCAACCTCAAGAAACAGAACTTGAACCAAAATATGAAGGTAGGAAGGAGGCAGGTTTCAGTTTGATGTTGGGAAATATTTTCTAAGAGTCAAATCTTCTGAGTGGCAGAATAAGTACATAATGCAACACTGTAAGGGCTCAGGATTCTGGGCAAGCATCTGTCAGGGACTTTGTACAAGAAATTCTGGCATTGGTGAAGGTAATGTAAACTAGTGATTTTCAGACACCCCTTTATTGCTCTAGAGGTTTTGAAAAAGTGCTTCAGTGGTTGTGGGGTAAGGGTGAGGCAACAGAGGCAAACACAGGGTATATGAGCGTGTTTTTGACAGAGCCCCATGGAAGTGATTTGAACCAGAATGGGTTTGCCATCTTCATGGTCTAAAGAAGCTCCGGTAACCTCTCCTCTGATTCATTCCTGACATAGTCTGACCCACAGCCTCCATAGTGAGAAGGGCAGGGTGTGCAGTGAGCAGCCATTTTCCTCTCTGAATTCGGAATCACAGCTAAACTACTACCCTCTGGTGCTGGCCAAGTACTGCTGGCAGGCTCTTGTCTGGTTTGGGAAACACTGGCTTGTGGTAGAAGAGATTATTCTGTTGTATTGTTTCTCTTCACTCCAGATGAAGCCAGTATTACCGCCTTAGTGGAACAGAAGTGATTACCTTAGGACAAGTCTCAGAAGTTTTCTGAAGGGGTTGTACTTATATTTTCCATTTCCAGACTCCATCCATGATATCACTGTCTAGTACCTTAACTCCACTAGTGCCTCTAGTACCACATCTTTTATAGTAGTAGTACTAATAGCTGTCTGTCACAAAGAGTCTAAATAAAGGCCAGTTGACCTTTTATTTCCATGAGTATGAGTATGCTAAACTACACTGTTAGCTTAAAACTAAAAATATAAAGTGAGATTCCCACAACAGAATATCTCACCTCTCCTAATACATTTAAGTCTGCATTCTCAAAGATCATTTTCGTTCCAAAATATGGAATATGCTAAAATTATAATGTCAGATTATCTCAGTTTTGAGTGTCTGTAAAATGTAATTAATTCTATTATCTTAAAATGATCTCTCAGATTCCTCATATTAGAGAATAAAAAAAAAAATTCCCAGCTAAAATTAGCTGGCAAATAAGAGGGCATGTGTATTGGGGCAGTGCTTACAAGATTGTCATAATGAAATTTTTTGATAGACTAGAAAACGAGAGATTGACATTAATTGTTTCTGTACATACCCTCTTTCTTTTCTCTGCCTGTGTATCTTTTGCATTGATTTTTCTGAATTGCATAGTTACTCAATAGCTTTTTACCTAATTATGAAGTACCTGTTACAAGAGAGAGAAAGGTGGTTAAAATTGCATTATAGCTTTCATGTTTGGTTTTTAATTCCTGCTAACAAGAATGATACTGTCCCTTGTTGAGTAATCTGCTTTATCCAGTCTTTCCTATATTATGTCTCCATTCAGTGTTGCTAATTAGAATAAAAGTCATTTGTGGTCTTTTGTAATAGGTTAAAGAAACTTCCAACTAGAAGAAATTCAAAATATAAAAAATGCTTTTCCAAAGACTAGAGATCTTTAATTCTTGTCTGGTTAATTTGGGGCAGATTTACTAACTGATTAATTCTACAACTGCATCAGCTATGTTCCAGATACTAATGAAAATACTATACTCACTGGGCATGGTGGCACACACCTGTAATCCCAGTGACTCAGGAAGCTGAAGCAAGAGGATCACAAGTTCAAAGCCAGCCTCAGCAACTTAATGAGGTCCTAAGCAACTTAGCGAAACCCTGTCTTAAAATAAAAAAAAATAAAATAAAAAGGGCTTAGGATGTGACTCAGTTAAGTTCTCTAGGTTCAGTCCCAGATACCAAAAAACAAAACAACAACAAAAAATAATACCAATAGTGATGGACAAACTCTTGTTTTACTGTTATGATCTTTGGATTGTCACACAGGAGTATTTGTACGAGCTATATCACGTCTTCAGCCTCTAATTCAGGAATTTGAAATAAGACAACTGTTTAATTGAAATGTTAATTTTTTTAATTTTATTTTTATTTTTTGATACCAGAGACCTAGTGGCACTTAACCACTAAGCCACATCCCCAGCCCTTTTTAATTTTTTATTTTGAAACAGATGGTTAGGGCCTGAGTTGCTGAGTCTGACCTTAAACTTGCTTCGATCCTCCTGCCTCGGCCTCCCAAGCCACTGGTATTATAGGCATGCACCACCATGCCCAGCTAATAATAATGTTCTTAATATGGTATTTAGGAATTTAATTTTTTTGAAATGCCTTTTGTCATATACACACACATTCATCATTTATGTTAATTTTTAGATAACTATTTAAAAAGTAATAGCTTAGAGTGTTACAACATATAATGATGTTAAATGTAATTCCCATGTTACTACAATGAAAATGGCTATAGAATACACAAAAAGAAATGAGAAGGGAACTAAAACATGACACTGAAAAATCAACTAAACACAAAAGACAATAATACAGGAGGAAGTAGAGACTAAAAAGCTATAAAGCATATATAAAACAAACAGTCCTTCCTTATCAGTAATTACTTTAAGTGTAAATGTATTAAATTGTCCAGTCAAAACTTAGAAATTGGCAGAAATTTGCTTTCTATAGGAGATTCAACTTTAGATCCAAAGACACAGACAGATTGAAATAAATGGATGGAAGAAGATATTCCACGCAAATAAGAACCAGAAGAGATCAGGGTTGCAGAAAGACAAATACTGTGTGATTTCACCTGGATGAGGCACCTAAAGTAATCAGATTCATAGACAAAAAGTAGAATGGACAAGGGCTGGGAGAGGGAGAATGGCAAATTGTTGTTTTTTGTTTTCTTTAGTACTGGGGATTGAACCCAGGAGTGCTCAGCAACTGAGCCATATCCCCAGCTTATATATATATTTTAGAGACAGCATCTTACTGAGTTGCTTTAGGGCCTCTCTAAGTTGCTGAGGCTGGCTTTGAACTCACAGTCCTCCTACCTCAGACTCCCAAGAAATTATTGTTTAATGTATAGGGTTTCCATTTTGCAAAATGAAAGAGAGCTGGAAGATAGTGGTAATGGCTGCACATCAGTATGAATGTACTTAATGCCACTGAACAATACACTTCAAATGGTTAGTTAGCATGGAAAATTTATGTTACATACACTTTACTACAATAAAAAAGAAGGTGAGCCAGGCGCAGTGGCACATACCTGTAATACCAGCCACTCAGGAGGCTGGGACGGGAGGATCGCGAGTTCAAAGCCGACCTCAGTAATGGTGAGGCACTAAGAAACTTAGTGAGACCTTGTGTCTAAATAAAATACAAAATAGGACTGGGGATGTGGCTCAGTGGTTGAGTGCTCCTGAGTTCAATCCCTAGTACCCCCACAAAAAATAAATAAATAAATAAATAAGAAGATGAGGGCTGGGGTTGTGGCTCAGTGGTAGAGCACTTGCCTAGCACATGTGAGGCACTGGGTTTGATTCTCACCACCACATAAATAAATAAATAAAGCTATTCTGTCCATCTACCACTAAAAATATTTTTAAAAATAAAGAAGAAATAAATAGATGGATAAATTTAAATAAAAATAAAGGTATTGTGTCCATCTGCAACTAAAAACATATTTTTAAAAAAGGTGTGTGTGTTCTTTAAAGTAGCTCGTCAAGAAATCAAAAGTTTTAAATAGTAGTCTAGTCTGTTCATGACTTATGTTGTTTCAGAATGTTTTTTAGTTTACATTATACCTTTTTTCTGGGTTGGTCGAGTTCTGTTTTTTGAACAATGAAATGATTAACACAACAAGGAGAAAACTAATGTGACAAATCAAAGATAGAACATTTTTAGTAACTCTCCTTTGGTGTGAGATCTGTAAGAGGAACTATAGACTACATTATCCTTTGTCCAAGATGTTCACTAGACTCTATGATCTGAATTAAATGTGTATTTGAAAACCAAAGTCC